TTATTACCGTGTTTCTCATATAATAAGGCCCAGTCTTATTTTTTTTTTAGCCCCCCCAAAATGGCTAGGCCGTCTTAATTCTCCCCCCCTTGCATTTTCGGGTGGGCAGCGATGGCTTGGACATTGACCTCGGCGTTGGTGGGGCACTTCGTATCAGGGTCAACGCAGGCAGCACCATATCCAGGTGTGCAACAAATGTACTTCCTAATGGCAAGCCCCCCCCCACCATTCCCCCATTTTGCATGTTTTAATATAGGCCTTAATTTGGTGGGAGGGGCTTAATTTCATTTCATGCCTATTAAACATGCTGGGACTTCCTATTGGGGGAGGCCATATTGTTGGAGAAACAGGGTATTACTATGGTTGATTGCAGTTTCGATTGGATTTGGCATTTTTATCAACTATTGAATCCTTCTGGAGGTAGATGTTGTTGTTTGATGGTGTTATCATTGTAGGTTATAAGCTGTACCAGTAGCTATTTTGAATCTCTTTCTCATGCCCTCTTCTTTTTCTTTTTCAGAACTGAATTTCATTTACTTTTTCTTAGCAGCTCTTCTTATAGTTTTTGCACATCTTTGACAAGGCTACTTCTGCACTCCTCTCCATATTCCACTCCCAGGTTTTCAAAATGGGTTACATAGAACCATCTTGCTCGAATTTTCCTTTAACAACAATGTATAAAGTTGATTGGGCTAATAGGTCATGATTGTTCTCTGAAAAAACGATTGCATTTGTGCTCTTTCATCAGTTAAAATTAAAAATTAAAAACCTGTAATGGAATCAGTCTAAAAAAAGTTTTTCAGATTGTATAAAAAAGATGATGTAGAAAAGATATACTGTCCCAGTGTCCTATATGTCTTAAGATGTCCAGGCCACACTAGCACAACATTGGCTCTGTTTAGTATAAATCAGAATGAGAACTTCTAAGAAAGTTTATCCATAATCACAAAGATGGGTGCAAGTTCACATAAATGTATGCACCTTTAAACATGGTTGTATGCAGGAGTTCAGAAATTTGAACCTGAATAATTCCCCCCCTCAAATTTCCACTAATGTCTCAATTAGAATAAGAATAAACAGTTACAGCATTGCTTTGCATTAGATGATTTTTCTTATTATTTCTGTTCATGTAACTATGGCTTACATTTGTATTTTTTAAAAAATTAAATCTTGTTCAATGTCTCATCTTTTGATATACCTGACAATTGCAAATATTGCTTCAGTAAGTAAAATAAATATATGTCTATTCTCCCAAAGTGCTACTGTATATGAACTGCTTATTCATTTTTCATTTTCTTCTTCTGTTTTATTGTTCTCCACCGTGGGTGATCTAGGTAGAAAAATACCATATTTTGAAATAATCATAATTATAAGACAGCTAGAATTTCAGCTACTCTACCATCAGTTAATTTTCTTTTTCTGCAAGCACTGTTGATCAGGCCCATCTTCTTGGCCTCCGCATTATCATTTCTGTGTAACTGAGATTATACATTTTCTGAGCTGTAATGCTGACAAGTGTATGTTCTGCCAAGTGTCAAGATTTTTCTGTTGAGGTAAATAAACGTCAACATAACAATAACTAGACTTCAAAGTATTAGTATTGGATCCATGATAAACCTAAAGTAGCTTTAGGAAAAACATATGACAGAAGTATTTTATTCTACTAGATGTTTTACATTAAATATAATTTTAGCTCACAATGATTATCAGCTGAGCTAGTAGTTGTATTATGGTTAATACCTGCTTGTATCATACACTTCATATTATTCCTCTACTCTGGAATTCTCTTCTAGAATATGTTATAGAAAACAAACAAGCTATATCTGAAAAATCATTCTAAACTAAAAAAATATTTTTAAAATTTGTATCCTGCCTTTATTACTTTTACAAATAAGGCTGCAGACATATCCAATACTCTTCCTTCTCCTATTTTACCTATTGAAATGCTGTTTCTTTCAGGTGCTGACAAGGCTGCTTATCTAATGGGAGTTAACTCTTCTGATATGCTTAAGGGTTTGGTGCATCCAAGAGTGAAAGTTGGAAATGAGTATGTCACTAAAGGCCAAAGTGTAGAACAGGTGAGAAATCCTTAAACCACATAATCCATCAAGACACCTCTTTCATATTCAGTTGATTCTTCTGTAAACAGAAGTATTATTACAAATATTTGTATTTTTATTCCTACTGCTACAATTGCCCAATATTTCCCATACCATAACTATAGCTTTTGAATGATCCAGTCAGCACCTGAATATAGTGCTCAATGATCACCAGATCAAGCTAAATGGACAAGATTTATTATATGATTTCAGGTTTCAACAAGGTTCATATGAAATTTGTCAAAGTGTTATAAAACTTTAGGCAAATCTATGTTTCTCTCCATAACTGCAGAACCTTAGTATAAGCTAGTCACAATGAAAAAAATAAATCTTTGATGGATACTTTGGTTCCACCATCTAAGAATCCTTCTGTGGAAGCTTACAAATCTACTGCTTCCAACTGTACACCAAACATTGAGTGGTAGAACTAAGACTGCAAATTCCTATCATTCTGAACAGGAATACTGCACAACACTCGAGGCTGCCTAACTCTAAAGAACAATAAACTATGGAGCACATTTTAATGCAAATTTCAATTCAGGAAAGAAATATATAGTTTGGGCACAAGAAAGCAAAATTACTTTGTGGCATTTCAATATTTTTTTTCAAAGTGAATCTGAAAAAAATATGTGGTTGTTTTAAGGCACTTTACTCATTAAAGTGAATGTGATTCTTAAATGCACCCAAATAGAAGGATCCTTTTTCAGGCTCATAAAACACAGGTTGCTATAAGCAATAGCAAAGATGTACAGTATAAAACACTCTTGAATCATTTCAAAGCATTCACAGTCCTAGTAAACCAAGCTAATATTCCATATATATTGATGTAATGCCATACAGTTCATTTATTGACATTTTAATGATTTTACTGAGCAGTAGAAAAATGGGAGATTAGCAAATATTGTACAGTTCTAAGAATGGGTCTGTTATAGCTTAAGTTATCAGTGTATTCACCAATAAAAGCTATTCCACAGCAGAAAGAGAAGCAATGAGTTTTAACAAATATTTCTTGCAGATAATAAACTTCATTACATTCTTCACTATATACCCAGCCATTGTTTCTTATGTTTCCTTAGGTTACCTATGCTGTTGGAGCTTTATCTAAGGCAGTATATGATAGAATGTTCAAGTGGCTTGTTACTCGCATAAATAAGACTTTGGACACTAAATTACCAAGACAATTCTTCATTGGAGTATTAGACATTGCTGGCTTTGAGATCTTTGATGTGAGTAATTGAAACCAAAAATGTCCACAAAAGAGCATGTTAATTTAAGTTAGCAGACTTTAACCAAGTATTTGTTTGTAAAATTTTATTAAAAGTCTACCCCACTTATTAGGCAATAACTAGTCAGAAGATTTCTTTGTTAAAATAGTTTTCAGGAATCTTCATAAACCATGCCTTCCAGTTGTATTAGACTTAAGCACTCATAATATCTTTTGTGATGACTTAGTGTTATGTTTAAAGCCCAACATTACTAGAAAGCATCAGATTGGTGAAGCTTGACTAGCACCTTGGAAAACTAGAAATGCAACTAATATTAAAATCTTGATTGCTTCCTGGAATCACTGATCTAATGTAAAATTAATATTAGTGGGACAAGGATGACTTTGGTTCATATCTTTGTGAAACATGTCTGAATAATTAGCTTAGCAGACTTTGTTAATTAAATCAATGATTCTAGCTGTTTAAAAAAAATGGCTACAATATTTAGGCATATTAAAACAGACCTTATATATAAAGAAATTCAAATTTTACCAACAAGCCATACAGATATTTTGTCTTAGTTACTCTGTTTGATTCTAAACAATTTGTTCTCTCTCTCTCTCTCTCTCTCCCTCCTTCTCTCTCTCTTTGCCTTCCTGAAGTATAACAGTTTTGAACAACTTTGCATTAATTTCACAAATGAAAAATTGCAACAATTTTTCAATCATCACATGTTTGTCTTGGAGCAAGAAGAGTACAAAAAGGAAGGCATTGACTGGGAGTTCATTGACTTTGGATTGGATCTACAGGCTTGCATTGATCTAATTGAAAAGGTACTAAAATTCTTCTAAGTCTCTGACTGTAAATTAATTTAAAAGGTTGAACTAGCACTATGCCTTTGTCAATTTTTTTCCAATAGTTATAACAAGCCTGCACAACCTTTGGGTTGGCAAGTTAAATGTACTTAAATGTGTTTACATTATGCCCATCATATTCTGATTTTTCTATTTAGGATTAAAGGAATTAAAGAGAATGATCAATTCTTAGCAGACCATTACTAACAACTTGTAGTTTTATGGGTCACAAAGCATATAGATCTGAGTATAAAGTGCTTTAGTGTCTATCTCTTTCATTGAGACAAATATGTCAGCCCATCAAAGTATTTTGAAAGTGAAAACATCAATATTATGTCAGAAACTGGGATAAAATTTAACATCTTCACATGCTATGTCAACAAGTTTTATAGCAGATGGAAAGAATAATAGATTAATGGTTATGAAAAAAAAACCCAGTTCTGTACTAGTAGCATTCATTGCTGGCAACATACTGTGTATGATTGGAACAACATACTCCTAAAGCAGTTCCCATTGATTGTATTGGCTTAGTATTTTAGAACTGTGGAACAACTGGAAGAGACAAATTTGGGAAGGCTGTCATTGTTTGTTTATTATTCTGTTTTTATTGTTTACAGCCTCTGGGCATCCTTTCTATTCTTGAAGAGGAATGCATGTTTCCAAAAGCTACAGATATGACCTTTAAAGCCAAACTCTATGACAATCACCTTGGCAAATCTCCCAATCTGCAGAAACCAAGGCCTGACAAAAAAAGGAAATATGAAGCACATTTTGAACTTCTTCACTATGCTGGAGTGGTAGGGTCTTCCTTTCTTCTTTCTTTCCTTCCTTCCTTCCTTCCTTCCTTCCTTCCTTCCT